GAGAACATTCCAAGATTCAGGACCAGCATGTTCAAAGGCCCTGTGGTGGATCCCCAGTTTACTAAAAGAGATTGCCATGATTGGAGTTCAGAGATGAAGAGGAAGTTTGGCAAGATCTGAGAGTAGAAAGTTGGGTACTGTTCAAATCATGTATGGTCTTGTAAGTCAAAGATTTTGATCTTTATCCTAGGAGCTGGGAAGTTAATGAGAGGAAGTAACATGACTTTTGAATTTTGAGATTAGTTTGGTAATAGTGTGAAGAGTGAATTAGAAAGGTACCAAGAATTGAGGGAGGGAGCCTGTTTGCTTTTTAAGTGAGGTTTTCATTTTTTTCAATTCATTGTGACCTTTTGATTATAAAAAGTTTTTAACCCTTAAAGTACCTTCTCAAAGTACAAATAGACAAACTAGGCAGTCCAATAGAATTTTGGTTCCTTTACATTTGTGACACTTTAGACAATTAATAATGTTAATTTAAATAACATTTTGATTACATAATCTTTTTTTGAGACGGAGTCTCGCTCTGTCGCCCAGGCTGGAGTACAGTGGCACAATCTCGGCTCACTGCAAGCTCCACCTCCGGGGTTCACGCCATTCTCCTGCCTCAGCCTCCCTGAGTAGCTGGAACTACAGGCGCCCACCACCACGCCCGACTAATTTTTTTTGTATTTTTAGTAGAGACGGGATTTCACTTGTGTTAGCCAGGATGGTCTCGATCTCCTGACCTCGTGATCCGCCCACCTCGGCCTCCCAAAGTGCTGGGATTACAGACGTGAGCCACCGCGCCCAGCCTCGTTACATAATCTTTTCCCTGTGGTGTTAGCTGTGGTAGTCAAGTAATATAGTTGGTTCGCATTTAAAGAATTAGCTGAGGGAATGTTACTGCTTACATTGGAAATGCCAAGGGTTAAACATCTTCCAAAATTTTATATATTACCAACTTTTTGCATATAACTTGTTACACTTAATTAAAAATATTAAAGATCACATAATGATAAAAAATAAGGCATCAAATTTGTAATTTTAAAATTAAGTGATATTTCTCTGTTATAGCAACTGAGAATATTCCCAACACTTAAAGAAAAAATTAAAATAACAATACATTGGCTCCCTTTGCTGCTTGAACAAATTATTTCATTTACAAATATAATTTTGTCAACATTTTTCTGACATTATTATGTGAAATTGCTATTATTTTCTCCTCCTTTTCCTTCCTCCTTCCTTCGTGTGGGAAATTTGAGACATAAAGAAAATCTGTCTGGTAATTTTTTTTAAATCCTAGTGAAACAGTTCTAATTTTCAGTCAAATTTTTCCTGAGGAGATTAACTTGTTGTGCTAATACTTTGATGGCTTTAAATTCCTTAAATTGGGTTGCCTCCAGTTTCATCATTCATCTTAAAATATGTCCATCAAAAATTGTTTTATCATTTATATATTTGTGTGCTTTTACAAAATTAACTGACTTAAAACTTAGAAGCAATGGTACATCCTCTTTACTTGTAGAATTATATTGGAAATAAATATTACAAATAAAAAATACATGTTTTCTTAGACTGTGTTGGTAAATACAGGTGAAAGTAGTTGGCAGTTTCATTTATAATTGAGGTGTCTGTGTTTACCCTGGTCCATATGTAAAGTTTTCAGAAAATGAAACAATGTTATAAATTCAACCCAGCTTTTTATGCTTTCCTACCTGTATCAATTGCTATTTCTCTTTTTTTGGTTGTGAGGAGATGAAAGTATACTTTAAATTTTAGCTATTTAAAAGAAACAAATATATGCTGTTTTATATTATTTTTTCTCAAATGAAGGAGGGTGGGTTGAGGGGTACAAAAGCAGAATCAGCTGTGGAATTTTTTCTAAACATACCTCTCCCTACATAAATTTATTTTAGTTAATTTAAAAATAAGATATGCTTCAGTTTTAGTTTTATAAGCTTAGAGAAGAATAGCAGTATCATGCCTTAAAACATACACAGGCTGGAGATAGAAGAAAGTTTATTGCCCTAAAAACTATAGTATTTTATATGGCATAAGAGGCAATGTGGAAGCTTGGGATCTATTTCAGTGTTGTTCTCTGTAAGACAGTAAAAACTCTTAAGACAGTGCCTGTGCATAGTGAGCACAATATAAATATTTGTTATTTAGTGAAAATAAGAATAAGTACATTGGGCAACAGAGTGAGACTCTATCTCAAAAAAAAAAAAAAAAAAAAAAAAAAAACTTCCACCTACAACTGTGACTCCAGTGTTTATTCTCATAGGAATATTCATAGAGCATTTCCGAAATTTATAGTGGGTAGTGGTTTTTTAGTGTTATGATCAATACTGTGTGATTAAAAAATGATAAATTTATATGATTAAATGAAATAATGAAATGTACATAGTAAAATAAGACATAGAACAGTGAAATATTAAAACATTAATACAAATAATAGAAGTACCTTTATGCAACACAATCCCTGGCATATTAATAAGTATGTCTCTACTTGCTTTGTGTGGTCAACACTGTATTTAGTAATCACTGAATAAATATTGATAGGTTGAGTGCCATTAACTATTTTGACATTGATAATCTATTGTTCTTTCTACCAGTGTAGAAATTTCCTCCCTCCCTCTGTCGCTCCCACCCTTCTTTCCTTCCTCTGTATGTAGACATAATCTTGAAAAGTCAGAGCAAAATTCTGGATCTGATAATGAAAAGGTTACTTCGTTTGCCAATTTCAGTTTGTATTCTCTATAAGATTGTTTTAAAGAATTCATTAGAGTTATACTAATCTTCATAACTGTCAGCTCCTAATGAAAGGAGCTAGGGTGTATGAATATGGATGTTTTGCAAAATTAATTCTACTTTTTCAAAAACTTATCCATACCTTTATTTTGTTTCTGGGGCAAAATAGATAAAGCTATACTGTTTAGTTTTATTGAGTCACTTCCAATATGTTTCCCAATGTTCTTTAAAAATTTTATATATGAGTTGGAGAGAAAAGCTAGTCATGACTGAACTGTTATTGTAAATAAATCGCTATTAGAACTTAGAAAAGGCAGATGACAGAAGCACACAAAATCGAACACTAAAAAATGATGTCTCTGGGTTCTTAACTTTAGTGTATATGAAAATCATAAGTAGGAATTTATAGACACTCTTAGGTGTAGCCCACAAGTATAAATTTTTAGTAAGTAACCCAACTCACGTCTAATGCTAGTGATCTAAGGACCATATTTTTTGAAATACTCCTCTAAGGTGGCTCTTCACAGAGTTCATGATCTTGATGCAGGCTCTTTTCTTCAGTGCTAGTCAAAAGAGAACCTTTAACTTACCAGAGTGTTGATATTCTCTCTCAAACTCTCTGTAGAAATTGGCATCCACAGATTTCTTAGAATAATTAAAGTTTGGAACCCTAGGATTATCAATGATTGAAGATGCCAGAATTTCTCTTTTGAGGGGGAAAATCTGATAACATCAGTTTATATTTGTATTATGTTGTGGGTTTATTAAAAAATCATTCTAGGGTGTTTGTTTTCATGCAGTTTGCTTGCTGCTGAACAGTGGAGATAGAATGTGACTTTTAAGTTTCTCTTCTCTAGCTAAAATTGAAGAATTTACCTCTCAAAAGGTAATATGCTTATCCATATACAGACTTGCACTGAAGTACACCTCTTCCCACCCAGTTTATTAGATGAATTGGTAAACTTACTTAGAGGGCCAATTTCAAATGAAGTTTTGAAGATACCCTTATCCTGGTGTAGGGGATGGCACTGTTATACAACTAACAGTTTCATATGCCCACTGTGTAGTAACAGACGAATACACTGAGTAGCAGGATTTGCAGCAGGGAAGGAATGTCATGATTGCAAGGTGTCCAGTGAGGAGATGGGAAGAGACCCTCAAATCCTTATCTCCCTGAGGAGTTCTGGGCTGGGATTTTTAAGGAGACCATGGAGAGTGAGGAACTGGAAAATTGGGGTGGCTGATTGGTTGGGGAATGAGAGATGAAATCATCAGGATGTGGAAACTACATTCTTTGGTGAGTCAACTTCTGGTGGTATCCTTCATTCAGAGCAGCTGGCATCAACGGGATTTTTCAGTCCAGCTGGTGTTAATAGTTTCATTGGTATTCAGGACCTAGAGGAATATCTCAAAGGGAAACTTTGAGTTTCATAATGTTGAAGTTGTTACCTATAGAGCAGTTAAGGGAAACTGTAATCTAGGATCTGTGGGATTTGGGGCAATAGGCACCAAATAGCCATGAGGAAGCAGGTCAGAGAGCAAGAAGACCTGGGGATTAATGCTCAATGTGCTGCAAGCTTGGCTTATTTTTGTTTGTCCCCTTGTTCTTCCTTGGTTAATTTATAAAGTTTATAAGGACAGTTTTAGCATCTCTCACATAAGAGTCTTATGACATACTTTATGCGAGGTCAGAAAATCCCTCCTAGGTTATTGACCTGCTTCAAGGGAGAGGGCAGGGGAAAGGTTAGTAAGACCTTCCTGCCTCTGCTGTTTTTCAGTATGCCACGGAGGCCTATTTTGGGGTAGTGTGTCCTGAATCCCATCATTCTACTCCCCCATCTTTCTGCACATTCATCTAGCATCTTGATAGAGAATGTGGCAACTTTATTCTGTTGTTAGTAGAATTCAGATAGAATAGAGATTTGGGGCTGGAGAAAGTTGCCATGAAAGACACTATTTTGTCTCACATGCAGAAAAAGGCACTAGATGTGTTCATTCAGTAACTGACTGCTAAATTGTAAATTTCATTTGATGACCTCAGTGAGATGGAAGGGCTTTGTGTTAAATCACGGGTAGTTATTCTCTGAAGAAATTTTAAAAAGATCTTTTTTGTGGGCTTGTTTTTTTATTATGGGAGTTAGGAAGGGAAGGCAGTGTATATTTGCTTTATAACTAAAATAGACTGTATTTTTGAGTTTTACTTAAATATGAAACCTGTGAAATAAATTCTGAACTGGTAATTAGTAATATCATTTATTTTTATTTAACAGGATACAGATGATTCAGTTGATGCTCAAAATATTTGCCATGTGTGGCACATGAATATAGAAGCCCTTCCAGAATGGATAAACTGCCTGATCCAAAAAGTAAGTTCTTAGTTTCTGAGTAAAATTAAGAATATACAACCTTCAGAATGTTTTTGTCCTCCTTTTAGAGCTGTTTTTCTTAGATGCATTGCTTGGCCAACCTCTTACTGTTCCTCACTCCCATTACCCCTCTTCACACTTCTTTTCTCCTTTCTCTGCTTTATATACCTATCTGTATTTTACACACACATATACACACATGTAATATATGTTACTTATACAGAAGCATATGTATGACATAAATATATATATTATACATGCACATATACATATTTACCTACATACACATATAGCTTATTTAACTTGTTAATTGCCTAGCTCCCACCCTAGAATATAAGCACCATGAAGTCAGGGACTTTATATTTTTATTCATTTGTATTTCCCAGCACCAAGAATAGGTCCTGTTCAATAAATGGAATATTCCGTATGTGTTATTCATATCTATATATACACACATAAATGCACAAACATACAAAATAAATAGGATAATTAATGACCTTCACTGGTATAATCAAAATGAAAATTCTACACTTTAAAGGATCCTTAATGAAACATTATAAGAGCGAGAACTGACTTTGTATGTATAGTTATTTTTTACAATTCAAAACTCTTGTCTTAGAAAATTATAAGTAGTAGGACTTTGGAAATACATAATTACATTTCTCCACTGAGCAGCTTAATTTTTTGTTAAAAAATAACATTTGATATCCCTTCTCACACTGTAACAATTTTCTAGGAGAATGCCAGTGCACTGTTTATAAGTGTCCTGAACTTAAAATATATTAGGACACTGCAGATATTTCACTATCTCAGTTGAAAAGATAATTTTAAGACAGTTCATTATTAATTTCCAATCCAAGCATAGAAAATGCACTGTCTGATGTATGCAATCAATATCTTTTGGTTGTATGTAAAAAGCCAGGAAGAGCTTTATTCTCTTGGTTGGGTAACGTTCCCTCCCACAGTGCTTGGTATGCAAGAAGTGTATCAAAACAGACACTTTTCTGTGAGATTTTACTTGCAAATTAAGCTCTGTCCACTGATTCGCTTCCTGGTTCCATAGCATATTTTTCTTTAGTTCACACTGTATCCATATTTAACCTATTGTTCAAGAGACTCTCATTTAGAATTCTTAGGAATATTGTTTGCTTGGGCATGATTTGCAATGTGTTATTCTAAAACTTTGGCGCTGCTTATCTTTATTTATTGGAAGGCTTGTTTTATTTGCTGTTCAGTCTACTAATCAGAAAACAGAAAGCTAGCCTTTCTGTGGCATAGAAAACTTTCATGTGGCTGGCTGTAAAGAAAAAAAAAATTCTCTTCGGTTTCTTTATAATGAAAGCACTGTCTTTATTTTTCTTTGTTACCTGTAGGCCCAGTGGACAGTTGGAAAACTGAATTGCCCTTTCTGTGGGGCCCGTTTAGGGGGCTTTAATTTTGTCAGCACTCCAAAATGTTCCTGTGGCCAGCTTGCAGCTGTACATCTCTCCAAGAGCCGGACCGATTATCAGCCAGCACAGGCAGGCGGACTAATGAGACCATCACTGAAATACTTGTCACATCCTAGAGTTCAGTCAGGTTGTGACAAGGAAGCTCTGCTGACAGGTGGTGGCTCTAAAAACAGAAATCACAGGCTTTTAAACATGGCCCGAAATAATAATGACCCTGGAAGATTAACAGAAGCACTCTGCCTGGAGGTGCGATCAACATATTTTGAGATGAAGAATGAAAAACTGCTCTCCAAAGCATCAGAACCAAAATACCAGCTTTTTGTTCCCCAGCTTGTGACTGGCAGATGCACTACAAGAGCTTTTCATAGAAAATCACATAGTCTGGATCTGAACATCAGTGAGAAACTGACTTTATTACCCACTTTATATGAAATACATAGTAAGACTACTGCCTATTCCAGACTAAATGAAACGCAGCCTATTGACCTTTCAGGCTTGCCTTTACAATCTAGTAAAAATAGCTGTTCCTTTCAGAATCCATCCAGTTTTGATCCTAGTATGCTGCTGCAAAGATTTTCAGTGGCCCCCCATGAGACCCAGACACAAAGAGGAGGAGAATTTCAATGTGGTCTAGAAGCTTCTTCAGTGTACTCTGACCATACTAATACTAACAATCTGACTTTCCTGATGGACCTGCCCTCAGCTGGCAGGAGCATGCTGGAGGCCTCAGACCAGGAAGAGCACCTCTCCCCTCTGGACTTCCTGCACTCAGCCAGTTTTTCATTGGGCAGCATTAATCAGAGGCTCAATAAGAGAGAAAGGAGCAAGTTGAAGAATCTAAGAAGGAAACAACGAAGGCGTGAAAGATGGCTACAGAAACAGGTAATATTTTTCAAAAGAGTTTACTAAAAAATCTGTATTATAAATACTGGAGTTTGGGGAGTGGAGCCAACTTTCAACATCTGTATAATAAAAACTTGGTTTTAATAATTCTGGAAATGCTATTTCTAAGTGCACTCAATAATCATGCAGCTGTATTATAATTGACATGTATAACCCAGTCTCTATGCTTCATGCATGTTTAGAAAAAAACCTCTTTTTCCCAATTCTGGTAATATTTTAGAGGGATATTAATCTCTAATTAACACTGGATTGTTTTTTACTATATTTTAAATGTTTTACATGTTAGGATTGTTTTGCAGTGGTTTTATTTTGGGTTAAAAATGTGTTTTTTTTTTTATTTTGGGTTGAAAAAATGTTTCTCTAAGTAAATTCAATCAGGTGACAAAGTCATTCACTTTTCATCACTTTATAATAGGTTAAGTGGGTATTTCAAGGAGCCTTAATCATGGGCTCACACGATCTAATTATGATTAACTGTGCTAAATTGTGAAAATTATCTAAAGGCTAGTTTACCCTTACTGTAATTTTGTAGGAGACTATGCTTCTCTATGATTTGATCTACTTCAGTGCCCATAGTAATATGCTCCAGAGTAGGATGTGTGAAGGAACTGAACAGTAAATGTTAGGTGCTATGGAAAGAAAGCAATTAAAGCCAATGGATGAGATGCTCATGAACATTTGAAAGTTTGAACCAATATGTTTCTGAATAAACTTTTTTTTTTTGCAAACTGACTTTATTATCTACTTATTCATAATAGTGTCCTTATTAATCAGTGTGTTGTATATTAACAGAACTAAAATATAGAAAGCTGCAACTTGATATATTAGTTTTTTCTTTTAAAAATTGTTAACTGAGTCAAATGGTATTTCTAGTTCTAGATCCTTGAGGAATCACCACACTGTCTTCCACAATGGTTGAACTAGTTTACAGTCCCACCTGTACGTTGTGCACATGTACCCTAAAACTTAAATTATAATAAAAATTTTAAAAAAATAGTTAACTAAACTTATGGCTTATGATTCTAGTTTTGACTCAATATAATAAAATTACTGCATTGAATGTTTCAGATTGAGTGTTTTTGCCATCTTTCAGTTATATAGTATAATTATTTCTATAGGTAATTTTTTATTATATTTTTGGTTGCTAAAATGCATTTCAGTTTGGTTTGTTTACAAGTGATAGTGTAATGTGACATCAAAGCATATATTACAGAATGTAAAAAATGAATGTGTTTTAGCATCATTATAACATACTTCATAGTTTAACTTAACTGAAACTGCAAAGTTCAAATTTTTCATTGAGACTTGACCTATATATAGGTAAATTGGAGATGGTCATAAGTTAAGTGAATATTCAGAAAGAATATTTTCAAAATGATTAATGTAATGTAGAGGGCTCTAAAATAATTCTGTAGCAAATAGAAATGTAAAAGAAGTATGAAAATTATACTTCATACTGTAAATATATGCAAATAACATCTTTGCAATTTAAAAATGTGTTTAATTCTTAGGCTAGGTAGTTTTGAAAACCTCAGCTACATGATTGATCATTTTCCATCATAGGAATACTCGTACACAGTTTAGAGTAAAGCAAGTATAAAGTTAAAGTGGTTTTTTTTTTTTTTGTATAGATGAAGTTATTTGTATTCATTCACATACATATGATATAGCTTAGCTAATTGATCAGAATTAATGAGTCTTAGACCTGTTGTCACAGGTCAGTATAGGAAGTGACATGGCAGGATCCTACTGAGTTTGGTAGCACAGAAGCTACAGGCAAACAAATACCCAGTGTTTGTTTAGCACAGAAAATTTTGAAGTGTATAGCAGCACAGAAATTTTGTGTTAGTGATGTAAGTATACATCGCAGTTAGAACCAGAATAATTACAATTTTTAAGTCTGTTTTGCTAATTCAAGCAAAAAGGCAAATCCTAGAAAGAGTAAATATCTGAGACAAATTAATGGCATAGGTGTGCAGTTTCATTCCATATTTAATAAAGATTGTGTGAACACTTATTAAATGCTTGTTTGGGATACTGTGTCTGAGTAATGACTTCAGTACAGATCGATCTTGCCTTTTTTAAAATGAGGATAAACATATAATATGTAAAGTAAAAGTTACTATTATTAATGATAGCTTTAAGTTTAGAATAATTGGTTGATATATCTGGATTTCTGACTTTCACTTGAGGTTTTTAATAAATGTTTGTAAGCTAGACATCTTTCAGTGATCTATACCATGACAGAAAGCATTAATGACAGTACAAAAAGTTATTTAAATATTTGAATCTTAGGGATGTAAATGAGATGGATATTGAAGCAGACATTACAGCCAGTTTTCAGGGTTTTTGTTTAGCAAAAGTTAATTGAGCATCTACTTTGGGGAAAGACATAGCACTGAACCACATTTAACCAGCAAACTTCTTTTTTATCCAGCATAGTCCTTTTGTTTTTCATTTTTATTTTTTAAATTATCATGCGATAAAATTATTCTCTACATACAGCTTTATGACTTAAACACATGTAAAGGTTTATATGTAATGACCAACAGAATGGGCACACAGAACATTTTGATCACTCCCAAAACTCCCTTGTGCTATGTGCCTTTATAATCACGTGCTCATCCCGTTCCTAATCCCTGAAAACCACTGATGTGTTCTCCATTATTTTTGTCTTTTTGATAATGTTGTACAATATTAATATACTGTTAAAATATAGAATCCTATAGTATACAACCTTGAGACTGGCCTCTTTTACTCAGTAAAATTGCCTATGAGATTCATGCAAGTTGTTGCATGTATTTATAGTTTGTTGTTTTTCATTGCTCAGTAGTATTCCATTGTATGAATGAACCACAATTTATCCATTCAGCTGCTGAAGGACAAGCAGGTTGTTCTAGGTTTTGACAATTATGAGTAGAACTTTTACAGACATTCATATGCATATTTTTGTGTGAACCTAATTTTTTATTTCTCTAGGGTAAATACTCAGGAGTGGGATTGCTGGATCATATGGTAAGTATATATTTACTTATATAAGAAATTGTCAAATTGTTTTCCAGAATGGCTGTACAATTTTGCATTCCAAGCAGCAAAGAGTTCCATTTGCTGTGTATCCTTGAAAGCAAGCACTGGTATTCTCAATATTTTAAAATTTTAGTCATTCAAATATATAGACATTTGTATCACATCATGATTTTAATTTGATTTTCCTTAAGGATGCTGAACATATGTGCGTATTTTCCATTTTGTGTATTCTTTAGTTAAGTGTCTTCAAATCTTTTGGGTTGGTGTGGCAGCTCATGTCTATAATCCCAGCATTTTGAGAGGCCAAGGCAGGAGAATTGCTTGAGTTCAGGAGTTCAAGACCAGCCTGGGCAGCATCGCAAGACCTTATCTCTACAAAAAAAAATCAAAAAAATTAGCTGGGCGTAGTGGTGTGTGCCTGTAGTCCTAGCTACTTGGGAGGCTGAGATGAGAGGGTTGCTTAAGCCCAGGATACCAAGGCTACAGTAAGCGATGATTATACCACTGCACTCCAGCCTGTCTCAAAAAATACAATCTTTTACTCAGTTTTTAATTGGGTTATTTTCTTCCTTTTAAGAGTTCTTTATATATTTTGGATACAAGTCTTTCAATGAATATGTGATTTGTAAATATTTTCTCTCAAGTCTGTAGCTTTTCTTTTTATTCGCTTAATTATTTTTCCTGTAGAGCCAACCTGTTTAGTTTTTATGATGTCCTATTTCTCAAAAAACATTTTAATAGATTATGCTTTTGTTGTTATATCTAAGAACTCTGTCTCATGCTAGGTTATGAAGATTTTCTCCTATGGTTTTTTCAAAAAATTTTATAGTTTTAAGTTTTACGTTGAGAATTAAGATTCATTTAAAATTAATTTTAATAAGTTGTGAGGCTTAAGGGGTTTATTATTTTACATAGAGATGCTCAATTGTTTCAGCACCAGTTGTTGAAAACAATGTCCTTCCTTCATTGAAATGCATTTGCAGCTTTGTCAAAAATCAGTTGTCTGAAAATGTGTGGGTGTATTTCTGGACTCTCTTCTGTACAGTTCATCTTTTTGTCTGTGCTTTTGTTAGTACCCCTTTTTTCTTGTGACTTTATTACTCTTTTTCAAAATGGTTTAGCTATTTTAAGTTTTTGACTTTCCATGTAGAACTTAAAATCAGTCTGTTTATATTTATAAAACATCATGTTGGGATTTTGATTGCAATTATATTGAAGTTATAGATAAACCTGGAGAGAGTTGAAATCTTTACTATGTTGACTCTCGTAATATGTGAACATTGTCTTTCTTTTTATGTCTTTTTATTTAAGTCTTTGATTTCTTTCATCAGCATTTTGCAGTTTCCAGCATTCAGAACCTGTGCATGTTTAGTTAGATTTATACCAAGCATTTTTTCTTTTGAGAGGAGTTCTTGTTATTTAAAACGTTTTTGACTTACAATTATTTATTGCTAATGTTTAAAAACACTATTTTTGTTTTGACTTTGTATCTTGTGTTATTAAGAGTATACATTCTTGATGTCTTTTGTCAGATTTATTCCTATTCTTTTTAATGCTGTTGCTAAATGCTAATGTTTTATTAAATTTTAGTTTCCAATTCTTCATTATAGTATAATGCTGAATGAAAATGTTGAGAGCAGAAATCCTTGTCTTTTTCCTGATATTAGCAGGAAAGCATGCATTCACCATTGAATATAATGTTAGTTGTATGCTCTTTTTCAGGTTGAGGACATTTTCTTTCATTTCTAGTTTGCTGATAATATTCTCATGAATGGATGTTGAATTTTGTAGAATGCTTTTTCTGTATGAGTTGATATGATCATGTGTTTTCAATGTTAATATAATTCACTATCAAATATTGAGCCAGTCTTGCATTCCCACCATAAACTACACTTTGTTATGCTATATTATTATGTGTATTACTAGATACTATTTGCTAATCATTTTTGAGGATTTTTTTATGCCTCTGTTGATGAAGAATATTAGTCTGAAATTGTCTCTTTGTAATATCTTTGTCTGATTTTGGTACCAGAGTATATAATACTCTGAGTATATAGAGTATTATACTCTCTATATATAATATAGAGTATAAAATAGAGTATATAATACTCTAAGAATATAACTAAATGAGTTAGTTGTCTTTTTTTGTGTTTTCTGGAAAATAATGAGGATAACTTTTTTTTTTTTTTTTTAAATTGAGATGGAGTCTCACTCTGTTGCCAGACTGGAGTGCAGTGGCACAATCTCGGCTCACCGCAACCTCTGCCTCCCAGGTTCAAGTGATTCTCCTACCTCAGCCTCCTGAGTAGCTGGGACTACAAGCGCACACCACCACATCCAGCTAATTTTTTTTTTTTTTTGTATTTTTAGTAGAGATGGGGTTTCACCATGTTGGCAACGATGGTATCGATCTCCTGACCTCGTGATCCACCTGCCTCGGCCTCCCAAAGTGCTGGGATTACAGGCATGAGCCACCGCACCTGGCCGAGGATAACATTTTTTTACTTAAATGTTTCATAGTGAAACTACCTGAGCCTGGAGATTTCTTTGTTGAAAGGCATTTAACTATGAATGCAGTTTATCTAATAATTACAGGACAATCCAGGTTATCTACTTCATATTGGGCAAATTTTGATGTTGTTTTTGAAGAATTATCCAAGTTGTCAAAGTTACATATGTAACATTGTTCATAGTATTCCTTATTTGTTATTATTTTAATATCTATTGGGTCTGTAATGATAACCTCTTTTCAATCCTGATAATGATGGCGTCTCTCCTTTTTTTTCAGTCTTGCTTAGAGGTTTATTAAGTTTATTGATATTTTCAAGGAAACAACTTTTTCAGTTGTTTTTATTGTTTTTAAAATTGTTTTACTGTTTTCAAAATTTGTTTATATATAAATATGTATATATTTACATATATTTCTTCTCTTTACTTCCTTTGCTTTGAATTTATTTGTCCTTCTTTTATAATATTTTTATGATAGAAACTTCTATTATTGATTTGAGAGTTTTTTCTTACCTTATCATTTAATGCTATAAATTTACTGCATTAGCTGTATACTATAAGTTTTATTATGTGGTATTTTTATTTTAATGCAGTTAAAACTTTTTCTAATTTGTTTTGCAACTTCATTTGGTCCATCTAGTTTATCTAAGTTATTAGTGTAATTAGGAAATTGCCAATATATCAGCATTTTGAGAAAATTAATAAAGCATTTAATCCTAGAGCAAAACATTTTTTTCACTGAATTGAGGGAAACTAAAGCTACCATTAGTATAGTTGCTTAGTATTTCTTAGTATTTCTAAATAATTCTATTTAAACAGCATTTCATTCTACTGTATTTGCATTTCTTACCTTTTGGCCTATTTAATATGAATAAAAGAAGATGTCTCTTTAAGGCCAGAGGACGCTGTTGTGAAAAGAGGGAGTTTTGCCTTATGTGTCTGTGGAGTATTGTACTTGAAAATTTAAAATAATTGACCATATATCATGGTTTGTAATAAATCACTGAGTCATCTACAATAATTCTGTTACATTATTTTCAGTGAGCTAAATGAATTAAGGTACTTATATTATTAAAAAGGTATGATTTAGACACTGGGGATAATAGAAGCCAATAAGTTGTATTGAAGACCTGCTTATTTGGTTTTATCTAGCAAAGACATATCTTCCACAAAGGCACTAAGTTTCATTTTCATGGATCTGCATATAGGGGTCATTTTGAAATTTTTACAGTTTTTAAAGGAGCCCATTTAATATTTCATCTCTTGATTCATCATCTTAAAATCTTATACAAATCACACTCCCAATATATATTTGATTATCTATGCAGTGGAAATATTGGAGAATTATCCCCCATTCATTCTTCTCTTCCTCAAGGAGAAAATTAATAGTTATTGAAATGAAAAGCTGCAGTAATGAAAATGTGACAATTTTGAGTTTATAATACGTTTCTTATGGTTTTATTAAACATAGAAAGTCACAAAATAGTCGTTTAGTAAAGAAGACAATCAATAGAGTAAAAGAACATCGTGACCTTATTACTGACTCTACTTTCTGTCAAATTATTATTTCAGTGTAAGTTTGTTTGTTTATTTTATGATTGTAAAAATACCTAGGACATGCTCAGTAAGTTGATAATTCTAATTTTATTCTACCTTCTAGGAAGTCATCATCTAGAATAATAAGATATAAATGTGCAGTCAAGTTAAATAAATAAAACTAAATATCTTAATTTGGCCTTTCTGCTAGCATACAGCTAAATGAGCAGGTATGGAACAAAATAACTAATGATTGATAATGCCTTTACCTGAAGTAATTATATAGATCTAGTTTTCTGATGCTTAGCACAGTACTTTGTACATAATAGATGCTCAAGTATTTTTTAAAGAGTCTTTTTTATTTTAGGATAGTTTTGGATTTATAGAAAAGATTTGAAGATAGTACAGGGAGTCCCCAAATGCTCCACCCATAGTCTCCTGGATTGTTAATATCTTACATTAGTATGATACATTTGTCACAATTTATGAACCAATATCTATACATTATTATTAATATTTATACTGTATTCAGATTTCTTTAGTTTTTACCTAATATTCTTTTTTTCGTTGTTTCAGGATACCACCTTACAATTAGTTGTCATGCCTCATTAGTTTCCTCTTGACATTTTCTCAGACTTTCTCTGTTTTGATGACCTTGGCAGTTTTGAGGAGTACTAGTTAGGTATTTTGTAAAAGACCCTTCAACTGAGATTTGCCTGATGTTTTCGCCATGATTAGACTGGTCTTATTGGTTGTGTCATGGGTTCCCAAAACTACTCCCGTATTTGATGATTCACTAAGAGGACTCATAGAACTAAGCAGAACGTCATACTTCCAGCTATGTTTTATTACAACAAAAGGATATAAACCAATATCAGCAAAGGGTGGGGTGCATCGGGTGAAATCTGGAGGAAACCAGGTGCAAGCTTCCAAGAGTTTTAGCC